TCATTTTTTATTTTATTTTAGTTCCTTGAAATTAAGCTGCGTAAAAAGGAGCGAATGAGCCAAACTGGGTTATCGTGCGAAAATTAATCAACTTATGCTTATTTCTACCAATGTAATTTAATTTTAATCTTGGTTCACGACTAACTCTTCATTTTTCGAATGCCCGTTTCTATCAATGTAGATTAACTTTAACCTCGTTTCAACTTTATTCTTCATCTTTTTGAATTCTTATAATTAAAACTAGATGAACCAAAATTAAAGTTAGTTACATAGGAACGGCCATTAGAAATTGAATATAATAGCCAGACCAAAATTAATATCCGTTTCTATCTATATAAATTAACTTTAGTTTAACTTATACTTTTTATCTATTTCTGGTTCTGACATAAGAGAAATAACATTCAAATTTTGTTTTAATTACAAATAATTCTTGCAACACACACAAATGATCATTTCGACCAATTAAAAAGTTCTCTTCAGTGCGATTAAAACAAATAATAAATTCCTTGAAATTAATTAGTTCTTTAATTAACATCAATAAATCTTAAGTCTTGTGTTCACGGTGCTAGAAATCGCTCCGAGATCTCGAATGGAGAAAAAATTAACACGTTTGAACAATTCAGCCATTTGCATTTACGATTGTTCGATTCTTCCTCTGTTTGAAATTCCAAAACAATTTCTAGTTTTGTGTTCAAGGCTTTACATGATTTAGCATCAATTGTGCTACAGATTTTGGCGTCAGCCAAAGCTCTGGAGAGTCAATTCTCACTTGTGGAGAGTTTTCGTAGGCACATTTGAATATTTATCGCAAAATATCAAAATTCATTATCGAAATGAGATAATAGGATTTATTCTATTGTAGTTCAAAGAGCTCGCGCAGCTGCTTTCTCCCAATCTATATCACAAAAATTGTGACAGCTCTGATAGTAACGTCATTAAAAGCGACATTAATCGCTGGCTGCTTCCAATCCAGTGAACTTGAATCGCACACGCTCGAGTGGGCGATGCAAGTAACACAATCTAACGTGCCACGACAGCGATTTGCATCGTGCAATACGTCAGCGCTCTTTCGACACTCCTTCAATTCAATCGTTGTCTATATATGTATATAAATGATCAACGATTCATTTTGAATGAAAACTATACGGAGAAAAATGTCTGATTAAATTAAGTGAAATTTTGATTGGAAATAGACGAATCAGAACTTTCTAGTTAAATCTACTAAATTTCTAATAGGATGAAGACTATATGAGAAAAATGTCTGATTGGATCAATTGGAATTCTGATTCGTCCATTTTCAACAAGAATTTCAATTAAACAGACATTTTTCGCATATAGTCTTCACTCTACTAGAATTCTGGGATATTTAATTAGAAAATTCTGATTCGTCCATTTTCTTAATTGTCTTATCTAATAAAAATTCTGATTGATATAATCAGAATTTTCTGATTCCAGTCTTGTGACAAACAGAAATCTGACTGATATAATCAGAATTTTCTGGTTCATCCATTTTCAACCAGACATTTTTCTCACAATCAGTGCGATGCATGAAAACTCGTGCGAGCGCAAATCGATCAGATTCCGAGCGTAAGGAGATTTTCGATCCGAAAATAAACGACCGACGTAGCATCCGTTCGTTTCTTTCTATTCTCATTCCTATATTTAGATACGCACTTAGAGTGCATCACAAATGTTGGAACAGGTATACCGTGTGTGAATGACCGAATACGCATGACGAAACGTTGCGTGTTCCACGACTTGACGGTGGAGCGCCGGCACGAGGGAGAGAAGAAAGAAAGAGAAAGTACAATCGAGACAAACGGGCGTGAAGGAGACGGCAGGTTGGACACGGGGACAACGAAGCGAATAGAGACAGGGACGTAGCTCGACTTCGATTCGAGTATAAAATCAGGTGGCATCAGGTGGCAGAAGGAACGCGCGGAAGATGCGAATCGCTCCACTGAAAAAAATTTCTGGTTGAAAATGGACGAGTCAGAATTTTCTGATTAAATTTATTAGAATTCTAGTTGAGATAACAGGAATTCTGGCTGATACAATATTTCTGGTAAAATCTACTAGAATTCTCATTTTTACCAGAATAATTATATCAATCAAAATTCTGACTGTCTCAACTAGAACTCTAGTAGATTTAACCAGAAAATTCTGATTCGTCCATTTTCCACCAGAATTACTATTTAATCTAACCAAATCATTTTTCTCAGTGTCAGACTAGTTCTCGCGTTAAAGATAACTGTTACCGAAAGAAGAAAGAAAAATAAATTGACTACTCATTTTTTTTTTAACAATAGAATGATATTTTTCTCTGTGTACGATCCTGCATTTAATATGCTATAAATGCTTTGAAGCATTTTTTTGATTGGTCGATTAGTGAAATTCTTTCTCGCGATCGAAGAGAGGGTTTATTCTATGATCTCTTCGCGTGCGATCACTTACGTCTTATCGGTCTATCTTATTTAAACCATTAGACGCCCGACACATGCTCGAGTCACCCCAGCGACGTGCAAGTAACAAGTAATAACAATCTGTAACAGCAGTCCAATTGAAAATAATCTTGTTAATTCAATGATGATATATTAATGAAACAAATAACATTTTATTAAAACAAAAAGTGGCGTTCCATTAATACTGTTATTGAAATAACAACCCAGGTAGCAAATACACGTCATTTTGACGTCAAATTTTGGTCATTTACTGACCAAATTTTGCTGACGTCACTAAATGACGTCTTAATGACGTTCTAATGTTACAAAATTATTGACGTCATGTTAGGACATTTCCAATAACAACAATTAATTTGATGTAATTCAGATGTTAAAATAGCGACAAATAACGTCAAATTTATTACTACTTTGGGTATTTATATATATATATATATCTATCCACTCTAATAATCACTGTTGACGCTTAATAATAACGTCTTAATGACGTCCTCTCTCTCTCTCTCTCTCTCTCTCTCTCTCTCTCTCTCTCTCTAATTTCGCAAATTATATGTGTTATCGCGACGACATCAAAATGACATCATGTTAGGACGTTTCCAAATGGAGAATTAAGGAAGATCAAAATATGACGTCATTCTAACGTCATAATGACGTTATAACATTGGTCAATTTTTAGTCACTTGATGTCATTCGTACCAACATGACCAGAATTTGACGTCAAAATGACGTGTGTTTGCTACCTGGGAAGATTGTTTTCAATTATATAGACTGTTGTTGGCTAATGCTGTTAAATCATATTTTTTACCATATAATACTCTGCGCATTACCGATTCCAAACTCCACGATAGCATTTCTCTATTAACTTCATTTCTTCAGTAATGACAATCATTAATGAGAGATCGTGAAATCTTATCGATTCGGTATTACTTATTAAAATATTTAGGTTACGATCCACTTAGTGCTATAAATGCTTTGAAATATTTTTTAATTGGTCGGTTAGTGAAATTCTTTCTCGTGAAATTGGTCGATCAAATGCTTCGAAGCATTTGTAGCATCAAGTAAACTGCACCCTAAAGCCTAGTTCGTACTTGTTGCATTGTGATTGGCTAAAATAGAATCGTCAACCGGGTAACGCAACTGGTAATCCATAGTGTGATTGTGGCTTTATGTCTGTCTCCACCAACGTAGATTAACCTTAATCTCGGTTCAATTTATATCCACTTTTATCTTTTTCTAATTCCTAGAACTAGAAAAAGATGAAGAGCAAGTTAAACCGAGATTAAAGTTAATCTATATTGGTGGAAATAGGCATTAGTCGTTTATACTTAGAGAAAGATCCGAGGCTTTCTAGTAGCAAATTTACTTTCACAATTGTCAATCTATTGTTCATTAATCTTTCGACGATGACTTTTTCCAACTGTTCGTTTATACAGTTTATTTGGCTGAACGACTTCTCTCCTCGTTGGCGAGACGAATAAACGCCGATCTTTTCGCATTTCCTTTGTGCGCACTTGTGCTAGAAACAATGCGCTTTCTCACGGTGCGCTGTAGAATTCTTAGCGAGTTTAGCGTTGGCCACGCTGTACATACTACTTCGGGGAGCACGAGTGGCATAAGTGCATACACAGCGCATTCTACTTTCGTACGATCGCACGCGACGATTTGCGTGTCTCAATAAAACAGAGACACTCGCTCTCCCCGCATTTTTAACGCTTGCATTCTTACTCGTCCTCGATGCACGAATATCAGAGAGAAAATGACGTTACTCACTGCCGTTTTCTTATATATCTATATCAGTTGGTCTCGTTATTAACCTTTCTGAGATCGCTTGACATTACGTGACTTACACTGAAAAAAATGATGTTAATCATGTTATGATAATATATATATTAATAATATTATTCTAATTAAAAAATGAAATAATTTTAATTAAAATTAATTTATAAAATTAATTAATTCTAATTAAAAAAAGAATTACTGTTATTGAAAGAAATCTTATTAATTCGATAATTCTATTAATGAAGCAAATATGTCAAACTCTTATTTGAGTAAGATGTTATTTGTTTTATTAATACTATTATTCAATTAACTAAAAGTTAAATTAATTAAGATTACTTTCAATTAAACTAATGCTGTTAATATAACTTTATTCTTTCCCGTGTCATCACGCGATTCGTTCTATCTATAATATCTGTTTAAGGAATTCGTAAATAAAAAAAAACATGGAACGCTTGAGAATTTATTTATTCGTGATGTCTACACTGAAAAAATATTCTAAATTTTAATCTAAATATAAAGTTTACTAAATATATTTATTTGGACAGGAATTGTTTGATTTAACTATCTTTTTTTATTGAATAAATATTTATTTATTGTAAGTAAATCTTAGTTGGCACTATTAAAAAAAATATTTATTAAAATTTACTACAGTTTTTCTCAATGTATAACTATAAACCGACGAAACACAGATAGTCTCAGAATCTATTTCGCGCGAGCGGTAATGGAGGAAGAAATCAACGATACCCTTCGATTCGTCGTCACTGTGATTCTTCCCTCGATCGTACGCCCCTGACTTTACCCACAGTGGGGGCAGAAGAAGCGGAGGCAGAGGGTGTCGGTCGTCAGGTCGGCGCAGCGGCGAACAGTGGCGAGCGGACTCGTACACCAGCTACGGGTCGAGTCGAGCTGGCGAAAGCGTCGCAAACGCGTTCGTGTGTTGTCGAGGAGTTCGCGGGGCGAGCATTGCAAACTCGAGATTTGCAAAAGGACACATACAAGAGAAGCATCTTCACCAGAACATTCTGGTTCGTGGAGTCATCTCAGGGAACGTGGCCATCGTGTTAATAAAAAAAAAAAAAATTTTGCAAAGAAACTGGTTTGCACAAAAACTCCAAGTGACAAAAGACTCCTTTGTGATCATGGAAGGTCATCCCTGTTTGTCGTGGGGTGACTAGCATCGTTTCCTGGCGAAGCGCCGGTTCGATAGCGATTGACGGTACTTTGGAGGGCACCTCGCGAGAGCGGAGATCCGGAGGGACGGATGCCAACTATTGAGCGGAGATGCACGTGTGTCGCGGCGCTCGTCGGGGGTAGGACGAGCCGTCTCGCTCCGAAAAACAAGCGTGACATGTCAACCTTGATGTCAACTTTGTTGGACTTAGAAGGAGTGACACGGGCAATCGAATCGACGGGAACGAGAATCTCTCGTCTAACATCATCGCAATTTCCTGTCTCGCGATTTACGTGCCTCTCATCGTCGCGTGGACGCTAGACTCCATTCCTGCGAGTTTCGTAGTCGTCTTCCCGCGGTTGTTAAATCTGAACCAGATAGTATCGGTTCGATGCGTCGGCGTCGCGACGTCGATGACGTCTGAAGAAACTTGGAATCGCTCTATAGTGGTATCATTATCTAGTCGATCTAGATATGACGACACCGAATGCACTCCTAGTTGCAAGATCTCGCGATTGCTCCCGGAGAAGCTGTAAACTACCGCGATCGTCGACGACGTTCCACCGACGAGCTGCCGACGACCCTGAATGCGTTCCAAAATGTAATTCTTTTCCGCGAAGTCTTCGAATTGCGACAATCGTCGACGGTTTTTCGTCAAGCCGATGACGAGTTCTATACGGAACGAAGCTCACGCGCTGATTCCGTAGAGTTCCAATCGTCGTCGAGATGTTACCGCCGAGCATAATCGACGTGCAGGGCGCGATACCGCGCGATATCACGATAAACAGTCGCGGTCTACTGTCGGAGACGATGTGCGGCACCGAGCTGCGCTCCACCGAGGTGGCGGCGACCTGCCACGTCGCAAGATACCGCGAGGAGTTCGACGAGACCATCCGCACCGTCTCGGAGCCGGAATGTTCGAAGCGGAAGATCGATTCCGCCGGGACTGGCAGCACCAGGTCGGTACCGGACGGCCGATCGCGTCAATTTGGCTTTTCCAAGGGCTCCGCCTCTCTGCAGAGCCTGGTGCGTCGAAGGAGCCGCAGGCACGGCACGTCCTTACCCTCGGAGGTCGAGCTGTCTTCGAGGCAGGTCATCTACCCTGCCGTCCCCTCGGATCTCCTCAAGGACATCGGCGGCGGCACGGCGATGTTCCGGAACGAGGAGGAGGCACGGACCGCGACACCGACCTCCACGCTCATTTACGCGACTTCCTCGGCGCAACCGTCGACCTCGAGGACCGACAACAATCTGGCCCAGGACGTCTCCACGTCGGCCAGCAACGTGGCCACCACCACGGGTAGCAACATCACCTCGACGACGAACGGCGGCCGTTTCGGCAACGTGCCGGTCTCGTTGGCGAGAACGACTAGCGTCGCTAAGGCACCAGGCCCCTCTATGCCCTCCTCCTGGAACAACTCCGCCGAGCAGGAAAGCGACTACGTTGTCGATCCTGTGCAGGGGAACGCCTACTACAAAGGACAGTTTTTGGGAAAGGTACACGCGAGTTTCCTCGGATCGTTTAAGCCTGATCTACAATGTGTTTCTTGCTTCATGCTTTTTACTTCGTGCCTTCTTCCTTCTTTGCGATCATTTTATCGACAATCGCGTTTCTTTTTCACGTGTTTCTTGTCTCTTCCCAAGTTCGTCAACTTTTATCTCGTGCGACAGAAAACGAAGAAAACTGAATAAGAGGCAAAAAGGCAGGAGGTAAAAAGTGGTAAAAGCAAGATGCAGAAATCAAAGAATACATTGTAGATCAGGCTTTAACATTTAAGTTTAACATGTACTGCTGACAAATTATAGAGATTTGAGTAAGGAGTATTTATAAATTCCCCCACGCCATGGCACTCGACTCGGCAAGGAGTGAGCGCACCTGTCGTTGGCTCGTGTTGCGCACCGATCGCATTGTCGAGGTCCCGTTTTTCGCGGCGAGGAATGGCATCCCGCGACGAGTACGTGGGAATCGCGGGGTTACGGCTCGTTTAGAGCTAGTCGACCTTCTCTGGCGTTTGATACCGTTCTGTGTATTGCCAACGCACGCACGGGCGCCCGTCGTTTACGATCCTCTTTAAAACCTGTCACCCGACAATAAATCAGTTAGCGCGATTGGCCGCGCCGCGTAATCCTTATTATTTCGCCCGCGTCAGTCGCGGTGCAAAGTGACGAGCCGCTTGCTGTGGCTGATTACGTGATTACCACTCACCGGAGAGAGAGAGAGAGAGAGAGAGAGACGAGCGTGTGAAGGGAAGGGAAACCGATCGTCGTGTCACGTCGAATTGATCGGAAATACAAGATGCGGACGTGATTATCCGGCAGCAATTATTTCTACATTTTTTACTCGATAACACTAATTTACAATAAACTGTTTTTATTAATTACTTTGAACCAGCCAAGGTGTTTCTTATGGATTTGTGGATGCCGAAAATTTATAAAAAATAAACGACAGTGAATCAATTTTATAGAGCTCTCAATATCTTACTTTTTAATCATGTTATGAAGGATTCAATGTTTTCTAAAATAGTAAATTTTCCGGTTATGACAATGAAATTATTACACTTATTTCTCTCTCTCTCTCTCTCTCTCTCTCTCTCTCTCTCTCTCTCGAAATAAAAGAAAATATTTTATAAGGGATGAACAATACGTTTATGATTTTGTAATTATCATTCATAATTTTAAAATAAAGTCAGGAGGTTAACCTTTACAGAAAAATATCAAATATCGTAAAAAAGCCATTTTTGAACATTAATTATTTTGGAAACTAGCCATGCTGGAATTTGTTGACTTACATCATTTACGGCATTGTTTTCTGTATTCAAAAATCTATAAGAAACATCTAGTCCGATTTGAAATAATTTTTTACTGCAAACTAGTGTAATTCACCTTTTGCTATTATATTCTAATTTTTTATAGCAAAGTCGCACGCGTTCTTCACGGCGCGCATTCTTCACGGCGCGCGTTCTTCATAATGACGGTATAAATCATCGTTATGCAAAATTCGCGAGATTAAACCGCTTCCACCGGCGGCGCGATTGCACGTAAAGGCAGGAATTCACTCGATTTAATTTTCGCACAATCAACCTGTGCGCGAATAATTTCCTGGAGTATAATAATAAATAACGCATGACCGAGTTAATGCGAGACGAGTCGCGAGATTCATAGGGTCGGGTCGAATCATCGACCGCGGAAACTCGTTCGGGATCGCGACTCGCGGGATTAAAATTTTTCATTACGTAGAAACGTGGGCGCAGCTTCGTAGAAATGGAGCGTTGGCGGTGAGTCACACTACGGGCTCGTTTTCGCATACCGGGAATTCTAAGAGAGAAATACCGGCGACGTCGGTGACGACTTCGGCGAAGAGCGATGAGTCAACAAAAAGATTTTCTCTTTGGGCCCCGAATTATCTGGAATGCTTAGATTAGACTATTAGACCATAAACTTTTCGGAAGTACCTTCCAAAATTTGCTTCCGCTCGAGATTATCTTTCACAAACAGGATGTTTCAATATCGGAGCATTTTGGACTCGCTTCGTATTGTCGAGATAAAACGTTTTTATCGACGAGACGCAAATTCCACGAAAATTGTAAAATTTTCGAAGAGAATGATTCTCGTTCTCTTTCTTTCTCTTCTGTTCTTGATGCATCGTGATGCAACCGTGGAACTCGCGCACGAAACGATGCGACGCGACGGTTTAAGGACCGTATGTAGCGTGTAGCACAGTTTATACGTGGCTGGCATATAAAAACGAGACATTTAAAGTCTCACCGGCTTATCGACAATGACCGATTCTCTTCTCCCGAAGACAGAGATGCGTTCGGTCGAGTCATTGACTCTGCATCATGCATAATACATCGACGGTAGTCCAAGATCAACGACTTCGTCAAGGTCGAGTATTCTAATTGCATGCTGCAAAAAAATTACATGTAAAATTACAACAATTAAAATGGATAATTTTGGGACCTATACCATTAAAAGGTGTACATTTACACATACACACACGCTTAAAGTAAAGTCACAATTTACAAATAAAATTATTCTTCTTTACAGTAATTAAACGGTTTGTAAAAGTAAATTTACAAATGGAGTCAAGTTTGTAGAAATATTTAAGTATTAATTCCTCAACGAATTATGTACAATTTTTCTTAAATTATATTATCGTTATGTACACGAGCATAAAAATGTAAATATAACATATATGATTATCATTATGTTAATATCCATAATATCATAAAAATATGTACACGTTTACATAGAAACAAATAAAATATACTGTAATTTTTCGTTTAATATGAAGATATATTTACACAATTAAAGGTCTCATTTTTGTAAAAACATACAATTTTATATATTTTTACTATAAATTGTGCAATTTTTATCTACTTAATATTTATGTAATTTTACATTCTTTTTTTTATAGTGCAGGATGTTTCGTTTTAGTTTACGGGGACAATCAATGATATACGATAAACGGGTCTCTTCTGGAAATACTTCTGGAATATACAACGCATCACTATCAGTTTCGAATTATCGACAACAATGTGAAACAAATGTCACTGTTGATTAACAGTTTTTATTATAGAAAATGTCGGAAATTGTTAATGATTGTTAGGGATAATTGCAGCAATTATGAATTAATAATTACAGAGAGAGAGAAAGGTACATTAATTTAACATACCATTCATTAATGATGCTTCAATATGCAACAGCAATTACATATTCATATTAGAACTTATTAAAGTCCATAATTAATTACTTTCTGTTAATTCAGTTTTGACAAATAATTTCATCAGTTCTTTAGTTTTTTTCAAAGTGAATATAATTTCGATCGTGGTAATAAACAAGTAGATGCACTCATAGAAAACTTTCTCGCTATGTTACTATTACGTATGATATCTAAGGTCACCGATAACCGATATTTATTATCCACTGAATTCATTTCTTATTCATAAGGCGGTTTACTTTATTTTACAATCCGATTACGTAATGTACGCTAGTAGATTTATTATAACAGTTAATTTATTATTATATTACTCGAACTTAGTCGACGTATGTATCTATATTTTCTTTTTAACATCTTGAGATGTCACAGTTACTCATATACTAAGGAAAAATGTACTAAATTTTAATAAATATTTTAATAATACTGGCCGAATATTTATTCACTAAGTGAAAATATAGGTATATTTAGTACAAAAACCATTAATTTTATTTAATTGTCATTTTTTTATTTAGATAAATATTTATTTACTATCTAAATAAAGAAAATGACAGTTAAATCAAATTAATGGTTTTTTAAACAAATATTTATTAAAAGTTAGTATATTTTTTCTCAATATATTAATTTTAAAGAGTTATTGCAGAATAGAGTGAGTGAAATTAAAAAAGAACGAAAAAGAATAAATTACAGGTCGGATAAAATGCATTTTTTATTCGAATCTCTAATGAAAAAAGGTGTCGTCGCATTGTTGGACATCCTGTATCTACTTCGCATTGCCCGAAGCAGGAAGTCCAAGTTATCTGATTATCATTACACCGAGTAAACTTCATTCGGCCAACACACCCGGGACACACCTCGAGGCGGACTCGTTACATCGATCTAGTTGCTTCTCGAACTTTACCCGTGCTCGGCAGGATCTCGTCCAATCTCCGTTAATCGCGGATTCCTGATCTTCACGGCATTCACGGCACTTCGTTTTACGCGGACGCGGAAAACGCCAAGCCTATCGGCAACGCATCGATGCGGATCGACCCGCTATCGGTCCGCGCCGTTCGTGCAGGAAATATCGCGCGTTCACGCGACTTGCCGTCTATCCACAGCCAATCCGCGAGAAATCCTCCAATCCGATGGGAAGAAAGAAAAATCTTCTCACCAGTTTCATAATAGTAACACGGAAAGAATGATTTTACTGAAGTATCTAAAAATTTAGTTAAATACAAATTTAAAAGTAATTTTTTGAGACAATATTTTTCGCAATAAATTATTGTTAGATTTAAGATTCCCACTAACATCAGAATATTCTTCAAATGATATTACCACTATAGTTTTGCTCGCATGATTGTGTTTCAAGATCGAAAAAGACTTCGGTGGGCGGTTTGCAGAATCAGATCCATTTTGCACTAAGATCCACTTTGACTAAGGATCTCATTTTAGAAAAATAATTTGTTAGATCATAAAAATAATTATGTAGGAAACTCTGTCTAAATTTTTTGGAGTGGGATTTCACTTGACAGAATGAAATTATGAAAATACGTAATTATTTTTATAGTTCAATAAAATTATGTTTAGATCTGTATCTAATTAAATTTTTAGTGTGCACTAGGGCGTATTAAAATCTTTATACTGATTTAATCTAAGTGTAAAAGTAAAAACAAGTATTTTGAATTATAATACATATTTTACTTAACAACACAATAAAATGTATCGAGAATTTCACTATTTAATTCACATTTCTATATTTATATTGAACACACATCTTTATATCAATTTATGTGCGACG